AATCCAACCTATGAAAATGTATTATAACAAGAGATAGATGTCTAAGGTAACATGCTGCTAAAGACATCTAAATTTGAACATTCAATTAAAGAAGCATAAATCTGAAAGTTATATATAACTTAGACTAGGCCCATTTTTTGTACAAATATAAACAAACAGAAGAAGCCAATACTCTTTGCAAATTATAGAAATTCCTAAAAATGCATGCACAAATTATATTTTTTGATATGCAAGTCAAACTAGTTTAAAACCTTATTTCCAAAAATAATCAAATCTTTTAAGGAAAGCCAACCAACATTCCAAGCAGTCTTCTCATAAGCATTATTCGCCAGATCTTAACAAAGAAAAATGAATAGTAGCAAATTGTAAGGTCAAACTAAATCATAGAAAACATGAAAGAAAAATAAGTATGAAAAAATAAAGTTATCAAGCGAACCTCTTCAATCGACGAGGTATGTTCCTCTTGGCGCAAATCATGCAATTTGGGAAGAGCATTGGCTGCACATTTTCTGACATAGACAGATGGATCTCTAGCACATTTGCCCACTGCCACCAGAACAAGAGGTGCAATAACATGTAGACGGATACCAGCCATGGTGCGAAGTGCCCATGCTCTCACCAAAGGATTCGGATCCCCCAAATCCTTCTGAAAACAATTAATCGACAGCAATGCTTCATTTGGACGCCTACATAATTAAATGCAGAAACGGTTAGTACATTCAATGTCAATGCTTAAACACAACAAATACAAACCAGTCAGCCACCCCCTCCCTTATTTTAAGCTACTGAGATTCTACCTACTCAAGCACTACTTTTATATAAAAAATCAAATAGGGACTTCCAAATTATTCATAATTCATTTACCTTGAAAGCCCATAACAAACCATTATCTAATAACTTCTCTAAGCTGACCTACTTTTAATAGAAATTGATCCACTTATATCCATCACATTTAGAGAAAGAGAATTAGTTCAAGCAAGCAAGCACTTCGGTTGTACTAAATTTCTCTTGGTTTACTAATATTGCCTATTTAACTTATGGGAACAGAAATTAATTTTAAAAGATAATTCACTCCAAATAATGTAAGTTCATATGGGAACAGCAATGAAGTTTAAAAGATAATTCACTTTAAAAGATAATTCACTCCAAATAATGTAAGTTCATATGGGAACAGCAATCGATTTTAAAAGATAATTCACTCTAAATAATGTAAGTTTGCAGAACGTACTTTTCAGCATAATGCAGTAGATACAAGTAAACCAGCTTCTTTACTTCCAAAGATTGAGATGCCACATTTTTGACAACCTGTAATTCCACCAACCAAAGAGATGAAAAACATAGCACCCCAATTAACTAAAACAAAACATAAGATTTAAAATTATCCATTGATAAACCCTTATTTCCTTATTAAACACTGTCAATAATTTAACAATGAATAACAATGAATGTTCACACTCCGAGACTCAATTCAACCCATTGTTAACTACTCAAAACATAAGTAGTAATAAAGAACCCATGGATTGTAAATTGAAATAGTGGAATTCAGTTAGAACAAAATTTGAAATGCTTAATTTTCTCTCCCATTTTCCTGCAATTTTCTTAGCAACCAAACAGAAAACTGAAACAACCGGTTCATATAATTTTGAAGTTCAAAACACTTTCTATTAAACAATGATATCTAAACTTTCAAACACTTAAGTTTATTCTCATTTTCCTGCAACTTTCTTTGCAGCCAAACAGAGCTCCTAAATAAATTTCAAAATCGATAACACTTTAATATTATTTTTTCATATATCCATTTAACGAAGAAATAAAATTAAAAAATAAAAATCAAATAACCTGAGGAAAAAAATTGGAGACGTCGAAGCCTTGAGCGATGAGAGCGAGGAGTCGCTTGAGAGCCTCGCACTTCTCCGAATCGAATTTGCTGTCCAAAAGAGGGGCTATGCTTACGTCATCGGGATCGTCGTAAAGGTGAGCATCGGTTCCTATCCGGAACACCATCGTCGACGCCTTACTCAACGATTCCGCCGTTGCTCCGAATTGGGGAAACATTTTCGATTAGTATTTTCTTTTTCTTCTTTATTTCTTTTCTCCTTAATAATTAAAATTTTATCAAAATTGCATTTGAAAATTTATTTCACCGGTTTCAGATCTGGAGCTTTGAGGGAGTGGGCAAGCGTGGAGCTGGAGAGAGGATGTTTGGGTATGCAAATAGATAATAGATCTGGTCGTGGATTATTATGACTCCTATGCTTGATAATTAACGCAGAAAATGTTAGTCAGTGTTTGGATGCAATTTGTTTTGCATGCAATAAATTTTTTAAATAAAAATTAAATTTGTCATTACATTATAAACAAATATTAAATTTTTGTATAGTTTTATTTTAAAAAATAAATTTATCATTATAAATTTGAAATAAAAATAATTTATTTTTAATTTAATCAAATTTAAAAAATAACATATGTCTTGCTTTTATTTTTAATTAATTTTTTATTTCTTAATGTATTTTAAAGCGTATATGACATCTTATTAATTTTTAAAAAATTTTTTTTCTAAAAGTTCATTGAAAATAAAATTTCATTTATATTGTGCATTTTTTTAACATGATAAGTGTAGGCTAATAAAAAGTGTAAATCGTGCTACGAAAATATTAAATTCATTTATTTGATTGAAAAAAATTAAATTATTTAAACAAAAATTATAATAATATCTTTTAAATTATGTCAAATACATAATTTTTGTTAAATATAACAATAGTATTTGACCAATAAATTTTGAATTTAAATAAAACTTTTTATATTAAATAAAACAAATATAATATAATGATATAAATTGTCAAACAAATACAATGTTATTTTTTAAAATAAAAAATGTTGTATTTGATATAAAAAATTAAAATAATTATTACATCATAATTAATATAAAAAATTAAATCAAATATTACATTATTTTTTAATATAAAAACATCATAATTGATATAAAAATAAAATTTTAATCAAATATTATGTCATTTCAAATCTATATAATTTTGAAATATAAAATTACCGTAATTGATATAAAAAATTTTAAATCAGATACTATATCATTTGTAAATATAAAAACGTTCGTAACTGATATAACAAAATTTAAAACAAATATTATGTCGTTTCTGAATTGATCCACTCCTTAAACTTCACAGAAACCTCGTACCGCTAAAATCAATTCAATTTATTTCATCAAAACCCTAACCGCTTGTAACCAGCATTGCCGCCGCATTGTGCCGGTATTGCCATCGTTGCACCGCCATCATTGTGCCGTAGTTGCCCTGTTGCACCGCCGTCGTTGCTGCCTTTCACGTCGCTTTCATGCAGTATTGAAAGCAAAAAGATAAAATATCACGTAAATGATAAATTAATTGTAATATAACAATTATTATATTTTTCATGAACAAAATATATGATTTTATTAATGTATAAAAATAATTTTTTTTATTTACAGTATTGGAGCTATTTATTTTTCAATATAATATTTGTAAATAAAAAATTATTATTATATTTCTTTTTATATGTTGGTTTTTAAAATGATAAAATAAAACAATATAATTTTTCATTCAAATCAAATATCTTAAAATAATAATTTTTTTTGAAATATTAAAAAATGACAAAAAATGTCTTATTATGAGATTTTTGAATATTGTTGAAAATTTAAAATTAATCTCAACAATAAGATACTCATGAGCCAAATATAAGAATTACATTCTTACAAATAAGATTTTAGAAAAAATTTTTAAATTTTCCAAACCAAATGCCCCTATTATTGCAAGCTTTGTTCCTCGGTATTCTGTGAAATTTTATTGTCTTCGTACTGTTGACTCTTAAATGTTCTACAATTCAAGCTTCATTTTTTAAACTGTGATTATGGATTCCCCGTTAATCAAACCCTTTCGGTTTTGATCATCTTGTTGGTTTTACTGTTTTCCTTTTTATTGCATGGTGCTGATATGAATTTCTTTTGGGATGGTTAGGCAGTTGAGGCTGAGTTTTATGTTAAAGTTGTCTGTATATTACTATAAAATAGCTACTTCAGGTGAAATTATGGGTAAATGCTTTGTAATTTCTGCAGGATTATGATCAATAAACTGGTTTTGATGACAGTGAACTGATTACTGTTGTTTTAGAGGGTAGAACTTCTGTATTTGGATATATTTTCTCCTCTCCTTGAAACTGATTGATCCTCGATACAATTTCTATTCTTCTAATAATTGGAAATCAAATTCAAGTGTTAGAATCCATTTCAAGTCATTCTATGCATTACCTTTTGTTCTTTTCCAAGGTAAAATTTTCCACAGTGATCCTTCTTATGGTAAACAATGTATGCGCACTGCATGCATAATTATTCTCTTTCGTGTATTGTTGTCCATTTGTTCCGAGTTTCTACCCAATTTTTTGCGTTGGTTTAATACATATCCGAGATTTTGAAAATCTTCATTTTTTTATGAGTTTATATTTCATATACCGTTAATGTATAGATTTTATATATTATTAATAAATCTCATTAATAAATGAATATCAATTTTTAAAATAAATATATAAAAATTCATTTATTTTTTAATGAAATGTTATTATTTGATTTATTTTATTAATAAAATAATATTATTTAATTCATTAATAATATATAAAATTTATATACTAATAACATATCAAATATAAATATTTTTTTAATCATCTTGAGTGAGTTTGATGATATCAATTTGCGATGAGTAGGTACAATTTTGAGTTGTTACAAACTTGAATCTTTATTGAATGAAGTTGAATCTTTCATGGTGCAAAAGCTTGTTTGGAAAAATTATAGACGTCCTTGGTTCAATATTTTTAGTTGGAAATTCTTGCTTTACCCTTTCCAAGACTGATATTTACCGGGGCAGATGGGATGAAGATGGTATAGGAGTATTTTTGAGTTTTCAATTTTTAGGGGGTAAGAGGGTATTATAAGAATTTCTGGGGTACGTAAAATTATCACTAAACCTCAGGGGGGTCATAATGATTTTCCCAAAATAAACATATAATAAAACAAAAGACTACAATCGGTCTTGCCTTCTTGGGTTCGAATCTGGAAACCCTAAACAAAAGACGGAAGAAGGTTCCCGCGTTTAAAAAAAAAAAGTTACGATTTTCCCTCCTCTTTCCATTCGCTGTTCCTATCTTACCAAAAAACGCCGTCTCTTGTTTCTGTTTTTTTTTGGCCGAGTATCTCTGGTTTTCTAGGTAATCTAGTTTTTAGAATTTTAATCTCTGGGTTTCTTTTGTTTCTCTTTGAAATTGAGATCCACATGTTTTTCACTTCATCGTCTGATCTGGAGCGCGTGACCGTTTACAGGCTTTATTTGTCAAACAAAAATCGAGATCAATCAGTCTTAGTCTTGTCTACTTCTATGTTTGGCTCATGGAAATTTTGAGGAAAAATATATGAAATTCATGGATCTTATTTATTTATTTATTTTGTTTTTGGTTGAGAGAGAAAAACTCGAAGCTGATTGAGGAAAAAAGTTTAGAAAGAATTTTAAGTTAATGCGTTATAATTATTATTGAATCTGATGTTTCATATTACATTTATTTTGTTCAAATTAAATTATCTTGTTTATTAATATTTTGAATTATGTGTTTTTTTTTAATTTAAAGTACCAAATTTAGCATTAGTTACAATTTAGGTTCCGTTTCTTATAATATATCTCATATTTTGTGTTACATGTAGGAAAAAAGAAATAGAAAAATGGAAGAACCATCCTTGAATGATGGTCCTGGAGTTAGTATTTCTATATTTGATTATTCAATCGAGAATCATTTTAAGGCGATGGATACAATCTCTAAGCTTTGTGAAGAGTTCAAGATTGATGGTCTCAATGAAACTGATATCCAGAGATTCTCTTCTTCAATCACTTTTTTAAGGTAAATTTATGCTTATCTTTGTGCATTTAGAACTTTCACATTTTTAAACCAATTTTTAAGCAGCGTTTATTGAATTTAATTTGCTGATATGAGTCTGGTTTGTTTCTTTTGATGTTAGTTTTATCTGTTTAACATAGAAATTTACAACTACATGTTCTTAATTTACTATTGCACATGCTTTTAGGGAATGGAGGCATTTTAATTACGAACCTAGGATCATTAGGTTTGCTAGTGAACTACGAGATTCACCAGGTAAAGGTGTTTCTGATGTCATAAACCTGCCTCAGTTTTCATCAGCAACTGTTCCCAAGGTGAAAGAAAATCTTTTTCTTTTGGGTCCCCTACTTGTAGGAATGTTCAATGACTGCATAAATCTTCTGGAATAGTTATTACTTGTTATATTATAATATTCTGTTAATACTCTGTTTTTTTTGTGGTTTATGGAAGCAGCAGGAAGGACTATGTGGAAGCAATGCACCTCCGGAATCCAGGTATGATTGGATTTTCGTTTGAGGAATATTAATTTTCAATATTATTGGTAAAAGGATGGTGTAATTTGGGTTTGGAAAAGGTATTAGTTTTATTCTTGACCAGCATAAATCGAAGTTAATTGACCATAAAAGTTTTTCCTCTTTCTTTCTTTCTTTTTATTTTATTTTATTTTTTTAATTTTAACTCTTATGAACAGCATGTTATGGATGGTGTTTGCTCTTGTTAATCTATGATGCATATGCATGTTATAAGATAAGAACTTTGGTGTTATTATTGCTCCTCTTATTTAAGATGTGTATGGGCTACCAAATATTTTTATTTGTGAAAGAAAATTTAGAGCCAAACCAACACTGCTGCAAAATGGTATGTTGTATACATTTATTGAATAACATGATTAAAGTACAATCTTCTTGCAGCAAGGACTTCGTGATGTATGTTGGAGGGTCTGTTTGGGCATTAGATTGGTGTCCTAGAGTTCATGAGAATCCCAACAGACCTGTCAAATGTGAGGTACTTCCCCACTTCTCCCCTCTCAAATCCCTAACCTACTTTTGGGAACCTTTTATTTATTTATTTATTCTTTTTTTTTTTGTGTTTGAGCTTCAATTTGTTTTTGCATTCAAATGTTTCTATTTATGGGCTTCACATTATTATAGCCCAAACCTCAATCTACTTGGCTATTTCAAATGAAAGAGACAAAAGCCTAAATTTGTTCTTAAATAATAGTTTAAAATATTGCATGCATGCTTAATGAGTAGGATTTTTAATAATAATTATCACCATCTTAGTGCTGCAATTTTGTGAGACCATCCTTGTTTTGACATTTTTTTGCCTTCTTTTTCCCAGTTCATTGCTGTCGCTACTCATCCTCCCGAATCTTATTATCACAAGATGGGCACCCCACTTACTGGTAGAGGCATCATTCAAATATGGTGTGTGCTAAATGTTGGGGTGAATGAGGAGGAAGATCCACTGTCAAAGAAAAAGCCAAAACGGGGATTTCAAAGTACGGAAGCCGTGGAGGAGAGCTCGTTAAAGAGGCCTAGAGGAAGACCTAGAAAGAAGCCACTAGATGAATCTCAAACAGATCGGGTTAAGAGGCCAAGAGGTAGACCTAGAAACAAATCAATTGGTGAACCTCTTAACAGTGATCAGAATGACGAGCCTTTCCAGCCTCTTGATGTTCAGTACCCAGAAGGTTCCTTTGAGCCAGTTTCTATAGACAACACTCCTGGAAATATGCAAGAAAATGTTCCAGATAAGAATCATCAGATAAGAAAATGTTCTAGTAATTCGTTTGAGGTCAGCCCGGGTTCTTCTATTCCAGGGGACATTGCACTGCCAAGAGCTGTCCTCTGCCTAGCTCACAATGGAAAAGTTGCTTGGGATGTAAAATGGAAGCCTTATGATATAAATGATTCTAAATTCAACCAACGGATGGGCTATCTGGCTGTCTTACTTGGAAATGGATCTTTGGAAGTGTAAGTCATCTGCCTTAGTTGTCTAGACTTTTTATTCAAAATTTTCTTCGTTATTCTTTTTCCTATCATTCTTTAGGACTTAGTCATAAAAGAATAAACATCATTATCTTATACAACAATGATAGAACACAAAAGCTCTTCAAGGAGCTCTTCTGTTTCCATGCCTTGTTTGGCAGTTAGGTTGCTTCATAATTCAATTTCCAATTTGTTAAATGGAAGCATTGCATCAAACAACCACGCTTGTGGAGTGTTTGCACTGCACTAGCAGCGGATTGGATAATAATCCAAAGAACAATTATGTTGATATTGGATGTCATTTCGAGCTTTCAACAATAAGGAAATATTTGGAATATTAACAATGATGTAATGAAGTAGATGATGGAAGCTAAGTAGAATGTTATGGAAAGATTAGAATTCAGTTCTGCAATATGGCAAATAGATTGGGTGCATAAGAAGTATGTAAATGAGAGAGGGATATAAGGCGTTTGTTAAATACTTGAAATGTAGAAATAAAAAATATTGCAGTAAACATTAAAAAATTAGCCCGCTGTATCATTTTAAAGGCATCCTTATGAATCTTAGCTTTCCATGACAGCTCCCCCTGTTTCTCATTTTTAAGTCAGTTCCATATCATCCACTTTTGCATTAGGTTATAGCAATTAGTTGGTTATATGTTTCATTATGATGTATCATTGACAACGTCTGTTGATTCTATGTCCTGATTCCACCAATGCAATGCAGGTGGGAGGTTCCTCTTCCAAATATGATTAGAAATGTTTATTCATTGTCACCTAAACAGGGTACTGATCCTCGTTTTGTAAAATTGGAGCCAGTTTTGAAGTGCTCAAAGTTAAAATGTGGTGATATACAGAGGTATTTTGCAAATCTATCATTTTTCTCTAATAAATTATTCAAGATATAGACATGTTCTTCTAATATTGCAGAAATTTTCTAGAATTTCTAAGACATGATGGAGGCTAAACATTTATCAATAATTCTTTAGAATATTTAAAACATGATGGAAACAGAAGATTTATTAGAATATTAATGAGTTAGGGATGCTAATGGCTATGCTTACGAAGAAAATGGAGGGAGAAGGGGGGAGGTTGTGGAAGTGTGGGGCGTGGGCTATTATGCAGCATGGATCCTTATTTATGCATAGGCAATTAATATCAAAATACTCAGTGCAGCTTAGTGTGCACTGCAGTATTGCAAATAGATTTGGTGCAGTCGATAGAATGCACCAGGCAGATGCAGTGCAAACATAGAATTCAACTAAATGGTTTACTAATTAAAAGCTTTTCTTTGGTTGCTTCTACAAGCTTATCCTTTGATCTGTAGAATTCTTCCATTAGTTCTACGACCTTTTGTCATTTACAGTTTTCCTTTTTGATCTTATTGTGTGTTCGATTCTATTTCGTTTATCACTAATAGACAGGCTCCTATTTATCGTACAGCATCCCTTTAACAGTTGAGTGGTCAACCTCATCTCCACATGATTACTTACTAGCTGGATGCCATGATGGAATGGTATAATGTCAGTTAGTTTGTTATTTTATCTTCTTTTTTTATTAAAAAATTTAACTTATATAGTATATGTTTTGACTTTTGAGAGAATTGATATCATGCCTTTGCATAAATGGGATAGAAGTATTCTTTTTGTTTATGAATTTAATCTATAGTCAATATAATTTTTCTAGGGATTATTTGTAAATTAAGTTCCTTTTGCATTAATTTGTTGTTTGACCATCTGTTAAGTTGCTTAGATTTTTCCCATCATTATCACTTCAATGCATAAGATTCCCATTTACTCATAATTTTGAATTTTTTGGTATCAGAACTAACTTAGTTTTTGTCAGGTTGCGTTGTGGAAGTTCTCTGCAAGTGATACACCTAAAGGTAATGTCAATGTATTAGTCTTTTCTTTTTTTTTTTTTGGTTATTCATGTGGTTTATAGAAGGGTTTGATTATGGGCATTAAATCAACAGTTGAATTTTATTTTCATATTTGTAATCATGCAGATACAAGACCTCTGCTTTGTTTTAGTGCAGATAGTGTTCCAATTAGATCGGTTGCATGGGCTCCATCTGGAAGGTCGGTGATGTCTTCAATGTTCCTTTTACATACTAAAATTTTATGTGGCTATGCTTTCTTCAATTCACAAAAATTACCTTTTGTAATTTGGTGGTTAAAATGCAAAGGGGACTGACCTTTTGTCAATATTGCGTCTATCTATTTTTTTGTTTTAAATTTCCAAGGTTATTGGCTATCCTTTGATGCTTGCTGATTGTCATAAATAAAACTTTGTCGTTGAATTTCAGTGATATGGAGAGCAGAAATGTTATTCTTACTGCTGGACATGGAGGTCTTAAGTTTTGGGACATACGGTAACTTGATAGCCTGTTTTGGTTTAAGTTTAATCACTTTGTATTTCAGTTATCTTTGAGCTTTTGCTTCTGTTTCCAATGCATTCATCCCAATTGAATTCAGATGCTTGGTGGCTTTTATTGCATTTCTTAAGATTAAACTCTTTGACTGTATAGTTCTAAAGTTTAATTAAACTTTCTAAATAGTACAACATAGCAGAGTTAGGTAGACTGACAGTTTAATGGTTACTCTTCTAATTTACTATTATGTATTTCATTTTCTTCATGATTCTTTTCAAGTGCCATGAACTTCCATGATTTAATGAAGTTTACAGATTTATAGAAGCTTCAGCTGAAGTTACAGCTTTTATTGTCTGAGAAGTCAAATTAATTTCTATTTTTATCATTATTTAGTGAATGGAGTTGGCTGGATTCTCTTCAATGTTTCCTCTATTTTACCTTCAGTTGTGAATTACTATAAATTAGAATATCAATCTGGAAGAGTTTAAGTTCGAGTGATTTCCAATTTCCCTATCAGTTCTGAATAATTCAAAATTTGAATTTGTACTTCTAAAAGAATTCTGATTCTCTAGGATGCAGGAAAAATTTGCATAAGTTAACTGTTAAATAGGTTTCCATTGATTTTAAGTTGAGTAATCCTGAATTCTGACTTCCTTCCGACTAAAAACACTGAAAATGTGTTCTCTTGTGTTCTCTTGGTGTGTTGTGCGTGTCTGTGTAAATATATATATATATATATATGAATGTTGTATTGAGCATTTATCTCTAAGAATTTTACCTGTTCTAGTTGCTGTGGTAGCATGATTACATCTTATCTATAGTTTGATGCAAACTCTGATTCTCTAGGATGCGGGAAAAATTTGCATAAGTTAACTGTTAAATAGGAAGGGAAGTAATCCTGAATTCTGACTTCCTTTTGACTAAAAGCACTGAAAATGTGTTCTTTTGGTGTGTTGTGTGTGTCTGTAAATATATATATATGAACGTTGTATTGAACATTTATCTCTAAGAATTTTACCTGTTCTAGTTTTTGCGGTAGTATGATTACATATTATTAAGAGCTATAGTTTGATGATTGTTTGCAGTGATCCATTCCTTCCCTTGTGGGACGTCCATCCAGCACCAAAGTTCATTTATAGCCTCGATTGGCTGCCAGAACCAAGGTAGGCTATACCTGATGCCTTTCCTATTATTTTTGGAATTGATGGTCTTCTCTTCAACTAGAGTTGAGGCAACTTTTTATGTCTTTAGATGTGTTATTCTATCCTTCGATGATGGAACAATGAAAATGCTCAGCTTAGTTCATGCAGCATGTGATGTACCTGTCACTGGAAAACCTTTCACTGGGACCAAGCAACAAGGATTGCACCTTTATAATTGTTCATCCTTTGCTATCTGGAGTGTACAAGTGTCACGATTAACGGGTATGCCAGGCATTGATTTTCTTACATTATTAATGTTGTCTTTTTGTGAGAGAAGTAGCCTTCAAACACAAAATATTTATGCAAGCAAAATTACAACAAACTTTTTTCTCATTATAATAAAATTTGTAGCGGACCTAATATGCTAGTCAATAACTCAAATTGTAGTTTGTTTCTCCAAAAGAAAAATGAAATCTTGATGTGCATAAACCTGGAAACTTTTTAAAGAACAAGATATGAAAACAAAAGATCAAATAAAAGATGGCAAAGTCAACGAATGTATGGTTAATGCTGTTTGACTATAAATGTGTTCAAAATTGTATAGGCATACTGTAGAAAGAAATTTGCTCCTACGAGGTAGATGTGAACCCGTTCTTTAGATTAAATTGTTTGCGAGCATAAAACTGTTCTAAATGTGACAAACTAACTTTTTTTTAAAAAAAATTTGTGAGACGATACTTATTGATCTAGTATTTTTGCTTCAACATTACATGCCTATTTCATCAGATGGTCATAAATTCTCTTTGTATTTTGTCTCTTTGCATGTCACTACACATGTTTGTAGGCAGTTACAAAATTTTTTGACAATTAAAGTGGGATCACAAACAACTTGATTTTTCAAAAATTTGTTTCCAAATATAGATTGACTGGTGAATTTATATTTTAGGCATGGTTGCATATTGCGGTGCAGATGGTACTGTTACCCGCTTTCAGGTAAGTTTAGCTTTATTTACAATGTTTGCTATAATTTTTCCCTGACAGACTTTGGGCCCAAAATATAAATATTTTCTTTTCTTTTCCTAGCCTCCAATGAAAATTCCTCTTGGAAATGGTTGAGAATTGTTGTTCCAAGTTCTTTTTGTTACTTCTCGGCTTGCATTTCTCAAGTAGTTCATGTTTACTTCCATTTCCTACTAGACAGAATCTTAGCCTTTTAGTTGTTAGTCAATTGGCAGTGTAAAACTATTGGAGTCCTTTCATTGATGCTGCATATCATTAAAATATGTGACACCAGTGTTTGAAATTTCTTTCAAAATATAATTTAAAACCATTCATTGTAAATTGGTAAGCTGATTCTGAGCTTTTGCCTCAATTAATGGTATTGCTTTTATAACCAGCTTACTTCAAAAGCAGTGGACAAAGATTTTTCTCGACATCGAACCCCACATTTTCCATGCGGATCCTTGACCGAGGAGGAATCAGCTGTAATAGTTAATACTCCATTACCAGATATTCCTGTGACATTGAAGAAGCCGAGTAATGATTATGGGGAGGGCCCAAGGTCCATGAGGGCCTTCTTAACTGAGTCAAATCAGGGTAAAAATGCAAAGGATAGGAAGGCAAAAGTTGCAGCTTCCAATAAGCAAACTTTAGGTAAGCTTGACAGTCGGGTTGCTAATCAGATATTCCTAGTCAACTACTCTTTTTCTTTCTTAACAACCAACAAGTTCTTAAATCTGTTGCAGCCCTTTATTATGGCAATGATCCTGGTGTGGAATCTGAATCTGAGGAAACATTGGCAGCTCTTCAAAGCAAAAGGAAACAAAAATCTAACGGGAAGAAGAAAGCCGATGATGATCAAGTATTGGCAATCAGAATTGAAGAACCAACAAATACACAGAAAGAAGAAACTGGAAATGAAATAGAAGTATTTCCTCCCAAGATTGTGGCAATGCATAGAGTGAGATGGAACATGAACAAGGGTAGTGAGAGATGGTTGTGCTATGGAGGAGCAGCCGGGATTGTTCGATGTCAAGAGATTATAGTTCCTGATGTTGATAAGAAATCAGCTAGAAAAAGTTAAGAACGTTACAAGTTCAACATTTTGACAATGTCTTACATTTTTAAGGTAATGTCTATATTGGCCTTTCCCCTTTATGTTTTAGCCCCAAATTTCAATCAAAAACCTCTCTTTTGTTAATTCGTCAATAATTATGCAATTTGTTAATAAAATTTTACACTTTAATTTCTGTGATCACGGTTCAACATCTTTCAATCCAATTATATATGGGTGTATTTTCCACAAAACCTAAGAAGGTAAGAAAAAATAGGATTAAAGAATCAAATTATTTTTGAGAACCATAAATTAGATATGTTAATTTCCATGCATCAACCACGTACAAAACATAAAGCCAAGGACTTCAAAGCAATGTTGTAATGGGTTAAACTAGAATCAAATTATTTTTAAGAAAATAGTTTTTGCTTACACTATTTGATGTTTACTCCAAAAAATTTCATAGGTATGAAAATCAGCAGTGGGATCAAACCAAAGATGAAACTTTTGCTCTCAACCTCCTCCTCTATCATTAGCGAAAATATTTGTTTGTAATGTAAAAGGTTGTCCTTTGCCACCTAAAAACTCAAAAGCTCGTCATGGTTTCCTCCTGTGTTATGTGGATTTGATGTCAACTGCATCTGCATGCATGCCATCAACCCACCAAAATTTTCATTAAATTATACTGTAATTAATACATGTTATTAGAGCACACAGGATTTTTTTTTCTTTAGAGTAAAGTAAAAGATATAATTATACCTCCATTATTGCAAGAGATATAGTTATATATAAACTATTTTCATTTGTAAAAATCCTGAAGAATATCCGGACTGGAAGCCAGCTCCTGCATTATTTGCAAAATAAACCATAAAACTACTATTAGTTCTACTTTGTTTTTTAATCCTTGAATTCATTTTTCAAATATCCATGCCTCTTGCTTCTTTGAAGTGTTAGCTGTCATTATTCTTGGAAAGATACTCCTGCTTATTCCTCTTTGAACTGTTGGCTGTTATTCTTGGAAAGATACTCCTGCAAATTCCTTGTTGTATGAAGAGTAAGGCTCTTGCATCCTTTTGCTTGTTAATTCTTATTCTTAATAACCTTGATCCATCAAATCCCACAAATCTTGTGAGTTAAATAAAATTTTCATTTGAATGCTTCAACAGTTATATGCTTCTCTTTTGAATATTGGAGTGTAAGTTTGGGTATAATTGAATGTGCTTTGTTTGAGATGCGAAAGAAATTAAAGATTTGAGTTTAATACTTCAAAATGATACTAAGATGGTTGAGCAACGGTGAAACGAATGGCTCTAATGCCATTTGAGATGATTTTTGGTTTGTAAGTGGGACTAATTGGATTGATGTTTAGAGTTAAAGAATAGATTTTCATGACTTTTTAACTTGAGATTAAACTTTTTTTTCTTTATACATTAGTCTATTTATAGCTAACATTATGGCTCATCTTTTTTACTTTTAGGCTAAAATCATTCTAGTAACATTTTTTTTTATGACATTTGTATCAAAGCCTAAGTTTGTTTGATATTTCTAGGCTGCTCCATTTGCAAAATTTTTTATATTAATTATTTTCAACAGATTTTACATATTATATTTATCTTGTTTAAATTAACTTATATTGTTGATTGCAAATTAGAGTTAGAACTCCAACAATGTTTTGCATTTTTTTTTAAATTTAAATTACCAAATTTAGCATTGAGTTATATTTTAGATTCTATTTCTTATAGTCAATTCTCTAGCATTATATTTAAACATTTGAGAAAAACAATAAGTTTGTTATTTAAGATTTTATTTTATTTGGGCTTTTACCATTTATTTAATTTTTTTATCAACTTTTGAAGAATTTAGCAAAAGATAAAAAACAATATCGTGATATTATTTTTTATTAATTTCATGATATTGCTTAATTGATTCGAAATTAACAAATAATTAAAATACAACACTAATTATAACGTTTTACTTAATTTTTTCATAATTTTTCAATTTTATGTATAATTTTTGCATAATCTGTGCATAATCTATGTATAATTTCCGATTCCATCAAGTCTAGCAATAGCGGCAGCATCTTCCTGTCTCTTTTGGATTCTCCTACCACGTTGAATGATATCTCTTTGTTCAAAATAGCTGAAAGTCATGAGGAAAATAAGCTTACGAAGAGTTAGTTAATATCAACATCAAGGTTGAGTGAGAGAGCTCTAAACAGGGAATCATACAAGATAAATCTAATCCCGATCACATCAACCTCGACAGAGACAACGAATGAAATGTCAGACATATTAAAGTGTCAATAAAATAATCATCTAGTAATCTCTTATATGCATAGATCCTTAAGTTTAGCATCGAGTCGAATTCGAAGTGAATTTTATTTGTCTTAAATTTGATCTGATTTTATGTATTATTAAATTTAAATTTAATTTTTTAAATTTTTTTTTATTTTTTATATTCGATTTCAATCTGATACTATATAAATCATATTTAATTCGATCTAAAATTAATAAAATATTATTTTTTAAAATATAAAATATTATTTTTTAAATATAAATATTTAAAAATATCATTATATAAATATATATAATTAATTAATTAAAAATAATTTTTTTATATAATATTAGATCGAATCGAATTTACTTAAAATTCGATCTTGATTCGACTTCAATTATTTTTTAATTTTATTTTATTCGATTCGACTCAAAATTTAAATTTAAAAAAAAATTAATCTCATAAGATCGGATCATATCAAAACCAATCGATAATGGGTTTGATTGCCATCCTAAACCTGATAAATTGGGCAGTCGTAGTAATAGCAAGTAACTCCGAACTGGATTTGGTAACAAAACCAAATCGGCAGGCAAGCATTTTGATTTCTGCCGGACAAAAGTGTGCTATGATATCTATGATGTAAGCATGAATAGGTCCTACCAATCGCGGAAATGTAAGGCTAATGTATGTTAAAAAGAACGTGTGAGTATAATATAATATATATAAATATTTAAATTTAAATTTATAAGATAATTTTTATGAAATAAAATTATAAATTTATTTAATCAAAATAGATAACATTTTATGCGAACCTTTATAAAAAAAAGTAATAAGGAAAGTACCAATCATAGTTTGAGGCTAATGCAGAACTTCGAAAGCAAAAACATAGCAATTGGAAAGGTTAAAAATGAAGTGATTGGCCAGAGAACTTTCATGGTGAACAAAGAAGTTTTAAAAACTAACTTTTAGAGCCAATGAATTGTCGGTGCAAAAGTGCCCTTTTTTATTCTTCCCATCCAGGATTACGACCTGAATCATTAGATAGGAGTCCGAAGATGAAGAGAGAAACAAAGAATATCGTTGCGGTGTAAACAAATTTAAGATTACGCATTGTACAACCTCCCATAGAATTTTTTTGTAAAAAGAAGAGAATGGATTCTTCGTTTTTATTTTTTATTTATATAAACAATTATTCACAATGTAGTTGAAAATTTTTTTATTAACAGTTTATATGCATTTTTGGGTTGGTATTAAATTATTTTGGAAATCATCACCAATTCCTATCAACGTTTAAGGATTAGTTTGGATGGATAACAAAATTAATTTCGATAAAATTAAAAATAATAGTAGAGATGAGATTAATTATTATAACAATAAAATTAAAAATAATTATAAAATATATGTTTGGATATAAAAGTAGTGATGTAATTAAGTGATAATGAAAAATAATTATTAAAAGCTTGTTTTAAAATTTTTTATATATTATTTTATATGTATATTTTAATATTATTTATAACATTTATTAATTAATTTTTTGGTCAAATAGTAATTTATTTTTTATTATATTAAATTAATAAAAGTATTTCAATATTTTTAAATAAAAATTCAAAATGTAAAAATAAAAAAATAAGACATACTTATAAGGCAAAAATGAAAAAAAAAAAAAAAGAATCATGAGGATAAAATTGATAAAAAGTTGAGCTCCAGTTATTCACTGACACTAACCGTGCCTTAAAAATTGTATCCAAATAATAAAATGGTGCGTTTGAATTGAAAAAAAAAAAAAAAAAAAACTTCCCATAAATATTTTTTAAACTATTCTTCAATTATTATGTTCTGTCCAAATTTGCTTCAAAATTAGCAGTGATAAATTTATTCCAAAAAGTAGAATAATAAATTTACATATCTTTATTTTTTTTTAGGATCGAATATTTAAATATTTGGTAAAACTATGCATTTTAAATTTATAAATAAATATTTGGTATTTTCAAAAATTAAAATTCGAATCCCTTATCTAAGTAAAAAAATTTGATTATTAATATTTATTAGACTAATTAAACATGGCCACCAAAATAATGTCACATAACGTCAATGAAAGAAATACTAATTCATTACTTGAAAAGGTTTTAATATCTTGACACTAAAACATTAAAAAAAAAAAATAATGGTTTACAATTATTTTTAAATGAAGATGGATGTCTTATACTTTGTAATTTATTTTTGGATCAAAATAATTAAAAATAAAAATATTGTTTTTATCTAAATTAATCATGAATTTAATTTTTATTTAATAATAAAAATGTAAAATTTAATTAATGTAATTTCATCTCTATTTTTCTTAGATAGAGTTTGATATCTTCTACAAGATTATAATGATAATGTAAACAGTGAGGTGATTTTACTATTGATTTGAAATCATTCTATTTAGTTAATAATCATTAAAAATTAAATATTTGATATTACTAAAATTTGAATATTATTTTATTTAAAAATATGAAAATAATAATGTATATTGTAATATGTACATAAATTAATGATTTAATATTATTTAAAGATAATAATTTGCAAAATATTAGTAATATTTTATTTATTTATTATAAAATATTATTAAATTATTAAATTAATAAATAAATTTATTTATAGATAAACTAATTTTTATAATATAGATTATGTAAAAATATTTGAATCAAAAAATAAAATTAATCTATTAAATTCATAATAAAAGAAAATAAAAATATTATAATATATTTAATATTTAAAAAAATTATTTTTGAATTTATTACAATGAATATTAGTTTTAAATATAAAAATTTATAATATAAAATTACAATTTTAATAGAAAGTAAATTTTTATAAGTAATATTAATTATTATTAATTTTACATATCACTTACTTTTATCATTTTGAATGAAAATTAAATCACTCTCCAAATAATAATTTGATCATCTTTGATAATCCAAAATCATTACCATATTGGTCACCGAATATTGTTTAAATATAATAATTTAATAATCATATATAAATCATCATATTTTTAGAGTGATCATTCTATTTTAAACGTTATCTTAAATAAATAATTTATTAATTGACCATAATATTTAACAAAAGATACAATATTACTTTATTTAAAAAAAATATTTTGTTACAAGCATAATTACTAAAGAAAATACAAAAAAAAATAAAGAATTTAAATCACACTCTTTACAAAGAATATTTAAATTATTAAATAATTAAATAAATATTAAAATTGCCGATGAAATCTTAACAATAAGAAAGAGATTTTAAAATCATAAAATTTAACTCTTATTATACTAGAGTTTAATTATATTTTAATTTATTAATTAATTATGATAGAAAATTTTCGTGTACTTATAATTTCAAAAAAATAAATAAATATTGAAATTCGATTCA